TTAGTACGTAAACCCCCCTGGGGGTGAACCCCCCCCCCCCCCCCCCCGGGGCCCCTATATCGACCATCCATTATTGATAAACCGTCTCGCCTTCCCAATTCTTCTTCTATCACCCTTGCTAGATCTCGCCAGCAGCTCAGCTTCGTTATCCTGCGATAAGCCGGAGTCCAACTATAGGGGCTTTCCCATTGGTTCCTTTCACAATCGGGTTTCTATTTTAAGCAATCCCCTCTGGTTCACGATTCCACATAGCTACTTTTCTGCTAATCACGGTCGCAAATAGCCAATAGAAGGCCAGGATGAATAAAGGCTCATGAGAAATAGGAACAAAAGCAATACATGCGCCGGGAATTCCGCCGAACGCGCACTATTATCAGTATCCATTGCTGGTTGATGCTCTCACCCCAATTAATGCCATTTTTGTTCGGGAACTTTCTAGATACTTATAGGAACAGTCTAGGTCATATTACAAGCCTTCCAATTTACAGCTTGGAACTAATCAGCGCTCGAGCTCGCATATCCTCTTCTCCTCTAAAAATTTCCTAGGAATAAGAAATGGACTCTAACCCCAACCGACATTTGTGCCAGCTTTGGTCATCATGCATAGCACTATACCCTATCTTAAAATCGATCTTGCACCGTATCTCAGCAACCGACGCATCCGTCTTCTTATCTGTCACTGGATTGAGATGGCAACTACCGGGCACAACTCTCTGCCGATACCTTAACATTTATAGGGACATTCCTGAATATGAGGGATGAATTAAGGCGATGATATCGAAAGGGCATACTATCTTATTAGCAGGAGATGGTCTAGATAAGCTCTTGCTCCGATATCAATATCCCTTGAGATATTGGGACCAGGGAATGGGAAGAGAAACTATTACGCTTTGGTTACTTCTCTTATCATTCGCTATGGACAAGAGCCAATATAAAGCGGATTGGCATAATGAAACTGCCGATGGCATTCCTGCCGATAGCATTCCTGCCGAATTTCCTTTGTTACTAGAGATGGATGTATAAGCTGGATTGTGCCTCAGCTAGAGGGACAGCAGGGATTTGTAGCGGCTTGCTATGCGGTGATGCAATCTTCTTAACCTCTATTATGCTTCCTGGCCCTTCTCTATGGCCAAAGTGTTATTCAGATTGGTATACAACTCAAAGATGGAATACGGTCGAGCTTCACGAAAATAATAACGATAACAACAGCTGCAGAAGCAATAACAATAATATTAAGCTTATATGTGCTACTGATTTCAGTAGATATAACTCGAAGATGAGCCTGAACCTAAACCCTAAGTGGAACTCAGTACTATAGGAGGTCCTACCGGCGTCGATGCTTAGCACCTCACTCGAGTACCTTCTTCAGCACCCAGAGGAGGCGGCAATCTCGTATATGAATATAGAGATGGGTAAGGTTTTTAAGACGGAGCTGATCGGTCAGGGATTTTATTGTAATGAGGATGGAACTATTAACTGGGGGGATACAGAGCCTTACGCAGACAACCACTCTATTATATTTCCATACTCAGCTGAGTGTAACGAAACGGGTATTCCCAAGGGATAAACCGGGGTCGTGATTGGTTTATGTTGGCAGGCAGGTCAGAGCTTACACGATGAGCGGGTCATAGTGTTACGTTAGGTGATGTATAATAGTAATTGCAGTAACCAGTTGTGATTGATAGCTGAAGAGCTAGGCTAGATATCTAATGAGGGAATTGGGTTGGTCTATATACTACGTGGTTACGGGGTCTGCATGTTCGCATGTTTGCATGTTCGCAGGGAGGCGCTGTCGCACCAGCGCTCCAAGACCTTATTGGTTAGAAATTAGTGGGGATACCCGTAACGCCTCACGTGACCGTTCTGTTAGACTTGGGTCGTGACATATATGAAAATTAAAATAATAAGATTAAGGAAAGTTAAGAATATAAGGAAGGTAAGGGCTGATAAAAGAGGCATAAGGTAATTAAGGTTCATAAATATCAAGTAAAAGTTAAAGAGTAAATAAAGCAAGAGAAATAGGAAAGAAAGTAAAATTATAAGTATAATATATTTAAGTAAAACAAAGGAAAGGAGAGTTATAATTTATTAGAGGGGAAAACACACACCCAGCCAAAAAGCCTGAATTTGTCCCTTGTTTTCAGGGGCAGAGGAACGGGCCGAGATCTGTCCCACTGGGACTGTCAAAATACCTGACTCAGGCTTCAAATAGAAAATCTTTATAGGATAAATAGTTTATAGCTTTATTTGATCAAATGGTTTGTAAAATCATTATATTAAAAGAGGAAAATTTATTCAAGGAATAAATAGATTTAGTAATGCATTTCAAGAAAAAAAGAATTATGTAAGAGAAAAGGATAATAATCAATTTTGCTGAGGACGAATTGTCACGACCTGGGACCTGGCCGCCGCATGACACTAAGTGGGTCCAGAGCGGATGAAGCCAGGACCAGATAGCCAATAAAGAACCGACCGAACAGATCGAGCCTCGATCAGTTCGAGCAGGAACCGACACGACCGAACATCGGTCACTACGATCACTTATATAGACATATAGTATATAGGAACAGGTAATGTTCACTCTCTTAGACAATAGCTATCAATACAACTTGATTACCTGAATCTACTCGATTCACTATTATCAGACGTGACAGGTTACCTTGCGCCTATTGCTTAGATCAACGCTCCGATGCATCCTGCAGACAAGCCCCTTCGACCAAGGCTTATCTAAACCAGGAATAACCTCGATCGTCACAATATTAGTCCATTCCCTCCGCCACCTAACAAGGGTATTAATGAACCTGGGACAGCTACCTTATGACCTACTGCCCGGCCATCTTCTTTTGTCATTGAATTGACCATTTGATTGAGAATAAAAGAGGGAGATAATGAGATAAAAGAGTATAGTCTTTTGGAATATATTTATTACTACTATTGCCATCATCTGCCTTCTTTTTGGCGCATGCATCATTGTCGTTAGTCTGCAATATATAATTGAACCACTTTTGATGGCTTGTCTGAATTTCACTAAGTCCCACCCGACATTGGCCTAATCCTGACCCTAAATGGCTCCATAATGAGTGTTCTTCTTGGTTAGGGTTCAACTCTATATCCAACCCCTTTGTATCTTGCATCATAGCACACACTATGCTTCGCTGGGCTTTGGTTACTCGACCTACATTGAAAATTAGCCACAGAAGACACGAGTTATTATTGAGAAACAAAGATTTGAAACATTGACTATCGGGCCGTCTAGACAACCCGCAGAGGATGGTTCGGGCGTTTGTTCCTTCTTCATTATTCAGGCCTTAGAGTTCTTAATTCGACGGGTAACTGTTTGTAACGATTCTTTTCTCAGCCGCATCTCTAGTGGTGTGCTTCTGCGTGGTGGTAGACCTCACAGTGCATGCTCCCATGGTAACAAATTCTCTATTGCATCTGAGAGTTCTTTAACGTCTTCGATAACAGTTCTTCCATTAAGATTATTTCAAGGCGAGGATCTAGATTTTGATATTCTGTCGAATCTCATACCGCCCTAGTAAGTTCTGCTCCAATACACTCCCAAGGCTGTGTATCACCGAAACAAGAAAGTCCACAATTGCGTGTCAGCTCAGATATTGAAGGCATTCCTATGCATCTCGAATGCTCTCTTATCCGCTTTTACCCTGGCCAATAACTCTCCTTGGAGAACCTCAAGCTAGCCTTGAGTCACCGTAGAGGCGATTGATAATATCACCCATCTTTTCCTGGAGGATTTTGCGATTGTTTGGCTTAACATGAACGAGGCCCAACAAGAACTGCTTCGTGAGTAAGAGATCTTGTATCCTCGATCGGATTTCTTCGGCGCAGTCTCTCGGTGGCAACGCCAAGACCAGATCGGCAACAGTGGTGGTGATCTCAAAAAGTTTGGGGACGAGTCCAACATTGTAAACTGCAATGCTGTGATGGGACAGTGCGGCTAGGCATACTTTGAGCTGCTTTGAGAGTCGTAGGGGCATGAACAGCGAAAGGCCCTCAGGCTGACCGGTTTGGGAGGATAGCAGCATTTTAGACATTGCCATCTGCCAGGTTACAGTTCGTAGCCACTGACGCGAGATGATCAAGTCAACTTGCTGTATAGGAAGAAGCATGGTAATTTCGAGCTCCCCAGACGGGCCAGCTAACTGCTCGTGTTTGGCCTGGATCCATTTGGCTGTCATCAAAGACCGGTCCCCTGTCCAGAATCTGACAAAGTCTTTGTCGACAACGGCATAAGTCTCGATTATGTGATTGAAGCCCCGCTCAACAGAGTCTTGAGCTGCGTCTGCCACATCTGGCAGGGACGGTAAGGGGTCGAGACAAACGGTCGTTGAACCTTCAAGTGCCAGGACTCGTTCATGAATGAAGCACACCCAGTAAATACGCTCGCGGTGTCCCCGTTCAAGAGGATTGACCTCCCGCTCTCCCAGAAAGTCGTCAAGACTACGCATGAGCATAAGGGAAATGGCCTCTCGAAGGTAGAAGAATGCCATGTCTAGCCGGCGGGTGACTAGTAGGCACATCTGTATAAATATACAGCCAATGATCCGGTTCAACTTTGGTTCAGAACCAAACCTGAGAGGGCGATGGTGGTCGAGAGCGAGGGCCACCATCTCTGCTGTCTGTCTGTAGCAGTCAGGCTGCCATGGCTTGGACAACTGCCTAATGAAGAATCCCATGCCGGAAAATGCATAGACCAATGCCGCCGCATCATTGTCAACATGCATCTGGCGGATGTTGGCACGAAGCTCATCCTCTTCCAGGATGGGACACACGGGGTACATATAATCCATGAACTCAAGGATCATGCTGTTGAAGGCCTCGGGTTCCAAGGGTACTGAAAATTCAGACGCTCCGAGAGAACTACTTCTCAGGACAGGAGGAAACAGCGTGGGCGATTGTGATGTTGATGTAGAAGGCTTCTCTTGGGACGGTTCTCGAGATGACGCGATCCTGGTGCCTCGGGCGGCGGCTCCAAGACGTGAACGACTAGCAGCAGCGGTAAGGGCATTTTGGTAGGTGCATGGTAAGCCCTGTTTCTCGCATCGATGGCAGGGTTGATGGCCGGGACAGCGGACCTTACGACGCCGGCACTCATTACAAGCGCGAGATCTGCGTTGCTGAGACGACATTCCGGGTACGTCAGGAAAGTAAGGAGGGATCCAATATGATCCTGGACAAGGTTTGTAAGGGAAAAGACTCAGGATCGACTGCAGCCATCCTTAGTTTTGAGAAGCCAAGACCTTATTGCGCACACCTTGAGTCCTTTGTCTGACAAACACTGTTGACTTCTCGCTGCTAACTTGGTATAGCGGATCAATCCATGGCAGACCTAGCTGTGTGCTCCGGATGCCCACTTGTCGGGCCGATTTATGGAGCGGGCTTTTGTCACCTGGAGCTAATCTGATTCGGAAAATACCAGATCAGCTCCAATAATTCTACCACTAGAGAAACGGGCCTCGAGTTGCGGGGTTTGCGGGGTTGGACATCAAGATGTTTCCGGCGCTATTTGCAATCTGGCGTGCCAAAAAGACGAACGTCCCTGGCACCTAGACTAGTATGCACAATCCAATCACAGTCTGTGCCCAAGTTCTGAGCGATGGTCATGCGCATATTTAGCTCTGCCCCGGGCCGACATATGGGGTCCCTGGTTCCTGAAAGGCAGCATTGACTCCCACTGAGGGTGCCAGTTGTTGCGTTGAGTGCTATAAAGACGGCGAGAATCTCGACATGATCCTCAGAACGATTGCTCTCATCCGAAGCTTCCAAAGCCTTTACTTTCCTATTAGCACTTCCTGATTGTTCCATACCTACAATACCTTTGTCGAGCCCCATTTGCACAAACACCAAGTCTTCTCGCTTAATGCCAGACCTCAATATATCGACCATGGCTGGAAGCACGCATCCGTGGTGGAAGGAAGCCAGTATCTACCAAGTATATCCCGCCAGCTTTCAAGACTCAAATGGAGACGGCATCGGCGATCTACCGGGTGTCTTATCTCGCATCGATTACATCAAAGATACTGGGGCAGACGCAATTTGGATTTGTCCCATGTACAACAGCCCCCAGAAGGACATGGGCTATGATATCTCGGACTATGAGAATGTCTATCCCCCTTACGGAACTGTTGAGGACATGGACGCTATTATTGTCGCTTGCCACGAGCGCGGGATGAAGCTATTGCTCGATCTGGTCATCAACCACACCTCGGACGAGCATGCTTGGTTCAAGGAGTCACGCTCATCCAAAGACAGCCCTAAGCGCGACTGGTACATCTGGCGTCCCGCTCGACACGACGCCCAGGGCAACCGCAGGCCTCCCAACAACTGGAGTAGTCATTTCGGCGGCTCTGCCTGGGAGTGGGACGAGGGAAGTCAAGAGTATTACCTCCATCTGTTCGCTCGTGAACAGCCTGACTTGAACTGGGAGAACGAAGAGACTCGTAAAGCTATATACGAGACGTCGATGCACTTTTGGCTTCGAAAGGGTGTCGATGGCTTCCGAGTTGACACGGTCAACTTGTACAGCAAGGTTCCTGGGCTGCCCGATGCCCCCTTCACGGACCCAACGTCCGAGTATCAATTTCCCGAGGGGCAAGTATCCAACGGCCCTCGAATCCACGAGTTCTTGGGCGAAATGAACGCCATCTTCGCCCAGTATGGCGCTACAATGACGATGGGCGAGCTAGGTCCCACTAGCAACGTGCGGAAGTATGTCTCAGCCGCGGCCAAACAGCTCGATATGGCTATCCAGTTCGATCTTGTCAATGTTGGCTTTGGCCCGGATGTTGCAAACAAGTATAATATTGGGCCAGAGGATGCCTTGACGCTGCCCGCTGTGGCATCAGCTGTTGCTTCTATTCAGGGGATTTTGGCAGATTCAGATGGCTGGGTCACGACTTACCTCGAGAACCATGACCAGCCGAGGTCCGTATCACGTTGGGGCAGCGACCTCACCGACGAGTCCCGCGTGAGGAGCGCAAAGCTTCTGGCCATGTTCCAGGCGACCTTATCTGGCACAATTCTCATCTATCAAGGCCAGGAGATAGGGGTGACCAACGCTCCAAAGGAGTGGTCTATGGAGGAATACAAGGACGTCGCAAGCATCGACTTCTACGAAGGTGTCAAGGCCAAAACCGGAGGAGACCCAAAGGCTCTGGCCCGCGCGTTTGCTGGGCTGCAATGCCTGGCTCGAGATCACAGTCGCATTCCTATGAGCTGGGACGCGTCCCCCAATGCTGGCTTCACAAACGGCGAGAAGCCATGGATGAGAGTTCATGACAACTATGCGCTCGTCAATGTCGAGAACCAACTCTCGGACGAGAACTCTGTCCGGTCCTTCTGGAAAAAGATGCTGCGCTTCCGGAAAGAGCACGCCGATCTCCTTGTGCACGGCATCTACAAGGCAGTACAAGACAAAGATTTGAATGTGCTCATCTACGAGAAGCACAGCGCTAGAAGAAAGGCTATTGTGGCGTTGAATTTCTCGGGCGCAGAGCAACCCGTCCAAGGCCCGCCCTCAATTGAAGGCGCTGAGAAAGGCGGGTATCTAAGCACTTACGGCGATTTAGTTGAGGGTAACCTCAGGGCATATGAAGGACGGGTGTGGATTGGGTCCTCCTAAATATTCCAACGATGTAGAGTAATGTGTAAAAGAAGAAAGGTTTGCTGGCATCAGTGCTGATTTGAAAAGCTAGATCAAATTGATTCTCAACTGCCTTACATCAACGGTGACTTGCCAACTTGAAACCACGCTCTCAAAAGTGGGTGAAATTAAGATAGCTTACAGCCTTACAAACTGGCTGGCTTATTCTCATATGATAGCTGTGCATCATTCGCTAGACTTTGTGCTTATCGTCTTTAAATAGTCTCCTGACGGGGCCAGATCGAATCTAAGAATGAGCTTGTTCGGATGAGTTGACGAAACATAATCTATGCCCTCGATGTTTTGGTACACTTTCTCATTCTTCTGATGCACAGCCACCCTGGAAAGTGCAAGATCCATTCCAAACAAGCATTCGGCACTTTTTGACTTAGGTGGACTTTCTCAATGCAACCAAATCATATGAATATGAGTTGTGAGTCCTGTGTTCTGCTGTCGGAGAGAAGCCCGAGGTTGGGGGGGCCACCAGCAATTGCAAAGGCCGAGGTGTCCTTGCGTTTAGTTTTGTTCCTCTTCACCCTGGGCCATTTTTCGGCTCTGCTCGATTATGGACACCCAAATGTACCCATAAAAGTGGACAGGAAGCCGGGCACCCTTATTCTCACTGTAGGTTTTGTTATCCGCCCTGTACAGCGATCACTTCCTAATGTGGATATCATACAGGGAGGATAACAAATTGCACAGGGAGAATAACGGTGCCCTGGTGGATGGCAACTGCAGGGCCAGGAGCCTCTCATCTCAAGAACACCAAATAGCCTCTGAAGCTGCCACCAGCGAGTGAGATATCAGCCAGCCACAGGCACTGGGCAGACATTGATCTACACGGGTGGTGGTAGCTCTGGAACCTTGCATCCCAATCTGGCGATACTTTTCAATGACCAGGCTCCTTTTTGAAAGCTGATCCCAGGCTCCGTAGAGTTCGTCCGTTTGTCCGCAGCCAATGATCAATGATTCAACCATCATGTTCGAGAAAAGTGAACATAGTTGCCGACCTGGAGGCTTGCATATGTCAATTATTGTGATGCACGCACATTTGTCATCATTTTTCATGCCCATGTTCACAATCGAAAAGTATACATCTGACCATCCATGCGTGGTATACACACACCACTTCGACTCCTTCTGTCGAACAATCTAAATCGGCCAAGCACCCAAAAGTGAGGCCCCACAGTGAATGTAGGACAATTTAGACTGTTATAGTGTGCGACACCTTCAGCTGTTCACGGAATGAGGGGAAGCCATAAGATTTCTGACTGCATTCAGCTCCAAACTGATCTGCAGCTGTACATGTTACTCCCATGAAATCATGCATTCGTGCAGCGTTCATGATGATGCTCAAGAGGACGGAAACCGGTTCCATCTAGTTATCTATATCTATCTCACTCTATTTAGTGATTTTTGATATACACTCGGCCCTCAAAAGCCTGAAGAGCATCAGGTACATCCTTTGTCTTTCCCTGGGTAGATACAACTAATTCTAGTCCCAACTTTTGCCAGCTGGGTGGCATGGTCCACGGCTGCTCTTGCGAGGTGAAATTCAGTACTACCAAGGCCGTTTCACCTCTTCCCTTCTTCCAGTAGGAGAAGACCATCTCATCTTCAAAATCGATAATCTCGTAGTATCCGTGCACCAGAGCTGCTGCGTGTTGTTTGCGCATCTGCAACATCAATCTCCAGAAAGCCAGGACGCTGTTCGGGTCGCTTTCTTGCTGTGCGACGTTGATCTCGCCTGCAAGGTCGTGCACACGCATCCAAGTTTCTGTGTTGGAAGAGTACCCTCCCTGAGGTGTTGAGTCCCAGCACATGGGATATCGGGCGTGATCTCGGGAGAGGTGCTGAATAGCCGCCTTTGCCTTTGCCAGGGCTTTGGGGTCGTTGTTTGTCGCACGTGCAACCGAGTTATAAAAGTTGCTCGACTCTACATCCTTGTACTCCGAGACGGGCCAGCTCTCGGGCATGTTGATCATCCCAATCTCTTGTCCCTGGTAGATGAAAAGCGTTCCTGACAATGTCGCGTTGAGCATGGCGAGCATCTTGCCTGACTGGACACGGAACTCGGGGGCGTCGGACGCGAATCTGCTGATGGATCTTGCCTGATCGTGGTTCTCCATGAAGGATGTTGTCCATGCGTCGGCGCCAACGATGAGGCTCTGGCTGCTGTTGATAGCCTGCTTGAGTTCGGGCAATTTCCAGTTGAAGGGAACGGTGTTGTATTTGGTCTCCTTGCCTTGCCCAACATCCACAACATCAAACTGGAACACCATGTTCAATTGCTTGGAAGCAGCTGAGACGTATTGTATGACTCGGTTTCGATCGGGGGTAGCTGGGCATTCGCCCACCGTCATCGTGTCGTACGGAGACATTACGTGGTTCATCTCTGAGAGGTATTCTGACATTCGGGGCCCATTGCAGTACAGGCTAGCAGCCACCTGATGTTCTGCGTCGGGATTCAGGATGGGGGCGTCAGGGAGTCCTTCTGGCTTGCTATACATGTTGACAGTATCCACGCGGAAGCCGTCCACGCCACGTTTCAACCAGAACTCGATGGCGGTAGCATAGATGGCTTTGCGAGTCTCGGGATTCTCCCAGTTCAGGTCGGGCTGCTCGGGGCAGAATAGATGGAGGTAGTACTCTTGGGTGTGCTCATCCCAGGTCCAAGCGGCGGTACTGAAATTTGAGCGCCAGTTGTTTGGTGGCTGTCGGTTTCCTTGAGCGTCGTACTTGGCTGGCCGCCAGATATACCAGTCTCGCTTTAGACTATCTTTAGATGAGCGAGACTCCTTAAACCACTTATGCTGATCTGAGGTGTGATTAATAACCAGGTCGACAATGATCCTTAAGCCACGGGCATGGCAGCCTGCGATGAGGTCGTCCATATCCTTGAGGGTTCCATATGGAGGGTACACAGACTCGTAGTCTGCAATGTCGTACCCTAGATCGATTTGAGGGCTGTCGTAGTGCGGGCAGATCCAAACAGTGGTGGCCCCGAGCGACTTGATGTAGTCCAGCTTCGAGATGATGCCACGGATGTCACCTAGACCGTCGCCATTTGCATCCATGAAGCTTGCTGGGTAGACTTGGTATATCACGCCCTCCTTCCACCACCTGTGCTCGGTGGGTTGGGAGTCCACCCTACCAATTGACTCGGCGCTGGGAGACATGGCGGCTTGAAAATGTGAAGGATGTGAAAGATGTGATTGCAAAAAGGTTTGGCGAGATGTGTGAAATTAGGGAAGCAAGAAACAGGGTTTGATGGAGGAATGAGCAGGTCGACTTCAATGGAGGGCCTCGACGCCTTGTTCCTTTATCCTCGACTGCTTCATACAAGGCTCCAATCTCATGGTCATGATGCATGCTTCGTTCATCAAAGCTCAGCCTTCAATTGGCTACTGCTCGCTCCGAGTTTGTCGATCACCGGCGCATTTATGATTGGGCCCAACTCGCTCCGAGTTCTGGAGCCATGCACGGATTTTGGAGAGACTGCGGTCGGTCCGAGATGAGGAGCAAGAGATTTGCTGGGCAACTGGGGATGAGCCAGTGAGACACATGATCATTCTCTCGCTAGTTCGGTGGCGCGAACTAGTTGCGGGGACAGCCACCTATTACCATCCCAGGACTGCCCGCCTCTTAAACACCTGCCTCATTACGGTCCTCTGCAATGTACTCGGCTCCGTACGGGACGCGGACACCCCCGCACTAAGTTCGTTCATGTCCGTGGTATGGGAAGCATCAAAGCCGCAACCTGCTCTTCTCGGATCGCTTCCAAGTCATGTCCCCAGATGATCCCCCGCCTTGGCCCCGAGGCCTCGTGTCCGAGAGTGAAATTCGGCAGCTAGTTCTACGCTTATTCTACAATCACCAACACTAGCGAGTGTACAGGTACGCTCTAGAATTGCCCAGATGCGCCACCAACGAGTGGCGAGCTGTGTGATGTCTACCGGAGATACCAGCCAAAAGGCTGCAGATATGTAGTTGAGATGAGGTACAATCTGATAGCGGAACCGTTTCCCCTCATATATCACTTTTTCGCCGAGTAGGGGAAGCACCCTTATGCCCTTACCCAGATTGCCCAGAGTCGTGCTGAAACTCTCGATTCGACTTCGTCCAAGTTTCTCGCTCACTCCTGCTGATCCTTGTTGGGCCCATGCCCATATCCACGACCTTGAGCTTGTCACCCTGAACAAGTCTATGGCCAGTGGGCAGATTCATTGACTTGGACCACATGATTGACAGAAAGCTTATACTCTGCTCTATACAGGGTGCGCCTTTTCATTCCTCCGTGTAGTTTCGAGTCGAGGCAGCTCTCGGATTATCCTTCTTCTCCCCGTCAAACTCCTTCTCTTGCGCGAATCTTCTTGGGAACGACTTCATCTTTGTCGGCAAACGCCGGGGCCGGGGTTAGTAGTAGAAGGAACGCCCGTTTGGTCTGGGGAATAGTCTGGGGAAGAAAATATCGCCCCAATGCCCCAATGCCCCAGACCTTAGTGATCCCCCAGGTTATGTCTAAGGTAGCCAGTGGACCACCTTCGTCGTGCAATCTCATTGGCACAACGTCGGACCGAGATCGTTGAGCATGGTCTTGGACGACCGAAGCCCAGACTTAACCACATCGTTCGACGTCAACCACTTCAATACTTGCTACACCTGTCTCAAATCTATATATATGACGAGCTCCATCTCATCTCTACCTACCTCATCAGCAAGCAAATCACTTCTCCTCTCTCATCTCATCATCGAATTGCAACCCTCATTGCCTAAGCCTGGGCCTATTGCTCCAGGACAACGGACAAGATGTCCACCATCAAACAGTCTATGGTGGACGTCGAGACAGTCAACGCTGTCAACGACGCCGCATTCGTCAACATTCAAGATGCTGCCAAAGCTACGCAGCGAGAACACGAGATGGGCTTTCTCAAGTCCTTGAAAACGTACCGCAAGGGTGTTTTCTGGTCCGTCGTGCTATCCACAGCCATTATCATGGAAGGCTTCGACTTGATTCTCTTGGGCAGTCTCATTGGATATCCCTCCTTTACCCAAAGATTCGGAACCCTCCAGCAGGACGGGACTTATGAACTTACAGCCGCGTGGCAGACGGCTCTCACAATGGGTTCACTTGTTGGACAAATCATTGGTCTCTTCGTGAGCGGCTACGTCGCTGATCGGATCGGATATCGAAAGACTATGATGGGAGGACTGGTCATGATTGCTGGACTGATCTTCATCCCCTTTTTCGCCTATAACATTGCCATGTTCATGTGCGGGCAGATTCTGCTTGGTATGCCATTTGGCTGCTTCCAGTCCCTCGCCTGCACATACGCTGCTGAAGTGGTTCCGACCCAACTCAGAGCCTACCTCACCACCTATGTCAACCTTTGCTGGGTCATTGGCCAGATTATTGCCTCGGGTATCCTGCGTGGTCTCGTCAATCGTCATGACGTCTGGGGTTACAAGATTCCCGTCGCCCTCCAATGGTAAGTCACGACAGCACATGACATGCCTGGTCTGCAAGACACTGTACACTAACAACTTGCGACGCAGGTTCTGGCCCGTCCCGCTTTTCGTTGGAATCTTCTTCATCCCCGAGTCGCCCTGGTGGCTGGTACGACATGGACGCATCGAAGACGCCAAGCGCTCCCTCGCTCGTCTGTGCACCCGCGATGCCGATGCTGCGCATAACATTGAGGAAACGGTAGCCATGATCATCTACACCGATGAACACAACAAGGCCGTCTCTGAGGGCACAACGTATTTCGATTGCTTCAAGGGCATCGATCTCCGCCGAACCGAGATTGTTTGCATGTGCTGGGCGATTCAGGTCTTGTCTGGATCACCTTTGATGGGTTATTCGAGTTACTTCTACCAGCAGGCAGGCCTTGCCGTCAGCAATGCCTTCACCATGACCATCGGACAGTTCTGTCTGGGCGGTGTCGGCACTGTGTGCTCCTGGTTCCTTATGAGCCGTGCTGGCCGCCGCACCATCTACCTTGTCGGCCAAGCCAGCATGACTGTTGCGTTGTTGGCAATTGGTTTTACTTCTCTTGCTGGCAAGTCTAATGTCGGTGCCCAGTGGGCCATTGGGTCGCTTCTCTTGGTTTATACCTTCATCTATGACTGCACCGTGGGACCAGTCTGCTACACGTTGGTCTCGGAGCTCCCATCCAATCGCCTCCGTACCAAGTCCGTGGTCCTGGCAAGGAACTTCTACAACCTGATCAGTATTGTGGCCACTATCATCACGCCTAACATGTTGAACCCGACAGCTTGGAACTGGGGTGCAAAGGCGGGCTTCTTCTGGGCGGGTACCTGCTTCTTGACCATGGTTTGGGCATACTTCAGACTGCCAGAACCCATGGGTCGCACCTTTGCTGAACTGGATGTGCTCTTTGAGGCTAAGACTCCTGCGAGAAAGTTTGCTTCGGCTTCTGTCGATGAGCTGAACCCAGAGGTTCTTGACAAAAAGGTGGCCACGGAACACGTCGAGAGTGTACACAAGTCGCTCGACTAAAATTTGAACACTCGCTGGAGCTTGCATATAGACTGGTAGAGTAACCCAGTAGCTCTCAAAGATGGGCGACATGTGCCCATAGGAACTATGGATCGGTATATCCTGATTATATACAAGTTTTACGATAGCGATGCATAACAATTCGGTTTCTACACGTCGCGTTTGTTATCAATTTCAAGGCTAGCCTTTTGTGACTGTTTACGATCTCGAAGCTCGCTATATCTTCATTCCGTAGAGAAAATGGCCATCAACACTTGTTCTTCTCTTGCATTAGAAGTCACCTTGCGCTGTAAGGTGACTTTCAAGACACCTCAAACTCCGGTACTCGGTGAGTTTGACTTGGCAGGCACAGGCATCGTGGTGAGACCCTCTGTTTTCCCGGTGGATGCGAAATGCCGTGGTTTTGTTCTCCTCGTAAGTGGCTTGAACTGTCTGAACTCAACGCCACGTAATTGCAGTTGCCATTCGGCCAATGCGGCACTACAGTACGAAGTAAGCACGTACCAAAACCGCCCTTGAAAGCTAAGCGGAACTTTACCGTCTTATGCAAGTGCTGCATATTTACCCCGCAATATGCAAAAAGGCAAAACGAAAGCTGGTAAGAGTACGACCAGCAACGTCACTCGTCTCCTTACCTGCCCCGACCTGACCTCTGCATCGTCAATGCATCCACCCGCAATATCGGGACATGACTTGGATCTTCATCCCCCAGGACTCGTGTAGTGCTCACAAACAAAGACGGTCCATGGCTGGGCGCACTCGGCGCGCTTGTGAGAGCTGTCGACTCCGCAGGGTGAAGTGTAACGGTTACCCCGACCGTTGTCGCCAATGCAGTCACTTGGACCTGAAATGTGCTTACCCAACGAAAACGAAAGACACGTCGCGTGTTGGGATTGCGCGAGGCTCAGTCATCTCGCGTCTTAAAGACTCTTCAGCCCCGACACAAGCATCCACCACCACTCACCGACTCCAGCCGGCTGCGGAATATGGATATTCTCGCATCAATGACGAGCCAATTCGTACTGCTGGGAGCCAGGACGTAGCTTCAACGATATATCCCCCCAACATCGAATGCGACTCATTCTCGGCGGACTTCTTTAGAGCATTGATCGACGACTACAGACTCTATGTCTACGATGTGAACCCCATCATCCTGCCCTCTGAGATCTTGCAATCCATCGACGTAATGCATCAGCCAGGACATGGTGTCGATAACGCCTTGGTTTACGCATACGCTGCCGTGACGTTGAATCTTACGACTGAAAACTGGCAGTCCGATCCTGTGCACTCCGCGCGCATACGCCAACTTATTGGTCTGGCTTTAAAGGCACGGAACGCTGTCATCGCGGACTGTATGAGCAAGCTTCCGTCAAGGATCGAGCCCCTCTTGACAGCACGCCTAGTCATGTCTGCCATCTTCGTTGAAATCTGTGCGATGGCCGATGGAAAGTACCCCGAAGCCTTTCTCATCTTACGAGAAGCCATTGCCATGATTCAGCTGCTTGAGGTTGATCGCCTGGTTGCTGAGGACGGATCCCACCGATACTCGAACGGCACTCATCTCCCTCCATCGGAACGGTCAAGACTCATCCGCTTGTATTGGGAAGCCTTCATTCATGAGCGATTCCTCATGGTGGTAGCATATTATCCGACAACGCTAAGCCCGCTGCCGGAGAATATATCACTGTCTGGCCATGATCCCACGGTATCCATCAACGTCCATGTAGGGTGGTACTATCTTATTAAGCTATTCTGCGTGCTGGATCACGACTTTATGCAGGTATGGCTGAGCTATGGCAACTCCTCTACCTCCTCACATGTCTCAGCGGCTTGGATTGAGGAGAAGATGCAGTATTTGGATGATGCCTATCGGATTGAATCAGACATTCACCAGACCAACGACATGAGCCTGCCAAGCCAGGATTTCATGTCACCATCAGCATCAAGCCCCACGTCAAGTCGAGATTTATTCACCGCTGGCGCATGTCTCACTAATCTGCAAAGAGCAGACATCGTAATAACTCGGCAGTGGCTGCTTATGCTGTTGTGGCAATTGGCAATTTCCAACTGCGTCTTAGCCTCCGAGACTGGAGCAACTCAGGAGAGCGCAATGTCCCTGCAGTTTCCCGCGCGCCTCTCCAAACAGCTACGCCATGTTGTTGCTGAACTTGGCAGGCAAAGCATCGAGCGGCATGGCTCAGGAATTCTGAAGAAATTATTCGAGATTACAAATGCACTTGCCGATGTCATCTTACATGCTCCCACCGACCTGTCGAGCGAGATGGCTCAGAGGTTGGACGACTTCATCTTTCTGTTTGACTTCCTGCGCAATTCTAGCAATCTTACCGATGTACAAATCACAATGCTCGAAGAGAAGCACACACAAATCATGACAACCAGTTAGGAGACTAATGAAAGTTAAATCATTGTTACCAGTCAGAGTTGAGCGTCCTTCTAATCAAGTTTCTAAACTCCTATACCTGTATAGATGTTTTCAAAGGTGTAAAATCGCATCATTACAATAATAGCGTCACCAAACAGTATGTTACACCGAAGTTCATGATGGATATGATTCGGGGAGGTAAGGGATGGACGTCGTGTAATGAGCCTGGCGAGGTTGACGCTCCAGTTTATGCATTTCCCTGTACTGCCCGAGGTGTAAAACGACTTAGGAGAGTAGTTCATCTTGTACTAGTAAGGAAACTTCTCCGTAGAGTCGGTGACCTAAACGTGTGAGAATAGTTGATACTAGAGCCAACTCTCATGAATGGGATAAAATGTTCATCTATACTATAGGAAATCTAAATTTTCGGATCTAAACCTGTTCCGCCTGTCTGTCTGTATGCCAGCTCCTTGCTCGCTGCTGTCTCCTACATTGATGATATCTCAACTGTTTAAAACCTAAGGTAGATGAAGATCAGCTGACCCCAAAAAACGGAAGTGCGCCGCACTTGACTTTTAAGCCAATCACCGTGCCTAGATCTCTGCCCCGACTTTTATCGTCAGAAACACGCCCAAAATTGCTCTAAGATTGCTCTTTCTCGCTCTCCCTCTCTCGCTCTCTAAACACTGCTAACATTGCTGAAATTAAATTCTACCCCGCCGTAAAAAAAAAAAAAAATTTTTCACCCGCGCTGCTTGACCTAAAAAAAGAATCCGAGGTAGAATCAGGCCTATTTAGTCGTGCATGATGAGTTACGATCTCGCTTTCCCCGCGCGGCTTTGCCGTATTGTAGAAATGCTGCGAATACGGCGATGCGACCATAGCCCCTTCTATCAGTAGTGAACGCAGTCGGTTTAAGGCCTCCAGGGTGTCGCTTATATTGCGATCTGAGGTCGATGGGAGAGGTGTCTCAAGTGGACCTGATAAGCTACTAGGGGGGCTTTCATCACATCCCCTCGATCGAGTTCCACTCTCACGGGGGGTGCGTTAAATTGGAAAGGGGGTCAGCAATTGGGAAAAAAGTTGCCAAAAATTTACTAAGCAGATAGTATAATAACATTGGTCAGAAAGGTATACTGTATGAAAGAAATGTATTTATACTGTAGCTGCCAAGAAAGTACTTTATTTTCTTAGTATAAGGCTAATATCTAGAGGTATTTCCCAATTGCTGAAACATTTCCAATTTAACGCACCCCCCCGTGAGAGTGGAACTCGATCGGGGGGATGTGATGAAAGCCCCCCTGGTAGCGACATCTTCAAGAATATCGAGGCAGCTTGTTAACTAGGAACGATTTTGCTGCGAGGATGAAGGTTGCAAAGCTCCTATTGGTTAGGCGTTGTAGACTTGAAATCGGATATCTCCATGCGTTGATTTAGAGGTCTAAAGCTGTTTTCGAGCGCATTTAGCGATGATATCTTGCCTTGCTTTCTCCTCTCGCATACTGTTTGCGAGGTCGCCCACGCTTTTTTTATATGTCGGGTATAGCGGGAAAGATATAGTAAGACGGTGATTGAGTCAGGCTGTGTGCAAGTTCCAGCAACTACATGAAATGAGCTTGCCCCTGAGCTGACCGCGAGATCCTTATAGGCTAGTACTGTGACCGTGAAATTCTAAGACTCAGTTTAGCGTGATGACCACTAAATGCTGGCTGGCTGGAGCTATGACCGTGAAATCCCGAAAGGGCTAGTGCGGTGACTGCAAAACTCAAAAGTATGATTCCCACTGACCCGATAGCTTACTCCCCAAGGCATACCACGGGATGCAGAATCTAGGAAACCAGACCATACCGGCTTTTGTCGAAGCACAAGACGCGAAGTTCACACACGCAAGGGTTGGTGTGGGCCGTCGCCCCCACAAACACAAACCCCCGCAAGCAGAGGAGTGCTTGTCGATCCGACATCGCCCAAAAGCTCTGTGGAGGAGGGTGGTGATTGGTTGAGCGTCGCTCCGAGGAAGTCGATCACTGTGAAAAAGGGCTTTTGGTCGGTCCGACGACAAGTCGAGAAAGGTCGATGTCCCACGCGGCGGCAAGCATGAGTCATTCCCCATTCTTACTGGATGCTCATCTGGCGTTTGGGTCTCCTAGACAAGGTGCGGGGGAAATAAGGTTCGGCAGTCACAAGAATCTGGGGAAGTGGACCAGTTGTCTCCAGAACACTCAAACTTCTTGCCATTCCCCAGCTCAGGTCTTCTGTGACGGACCCCTGAGTCGCACGCATTGTTGATGTTGCGGACAAGGTTCGGCGTGCAGTGGTTTGACCTTAAAGGATAGGTGTCTTTCCTTCCTTGCAACCTAATCTCCTAAAGAGTCTTTTCTTTTCTTTCTTTTCTTTCCTTTTTTCATCCATCTCAAGAATAATCTCGTCGATCCATACTTAACTATTCGCGATGCGGGAAATCTCCTTCAGGTCGCTTGAGTTAGAAACAACAACTTATTATCAAATCTCGAAATGAGTCGCTTGAATTGGAGACGAGAAGTCCTTAAGCATAACTACTTCAACGACTAGTGGGCTTCAGAATATCTCAAAATTCTGTCGCTATTGGAGCAATATAGCAGCCATAGGACTCGACCCAGATTGGCCTCCCACCAGCAAACACGACCTCATCCGGAAAGGGCCCACCAAGCGAAAATGTAGCTCCTCCGGGGGCAATCATTTCACAGACGACGCTATCAAAGACGGCTTGGGCGTCAAGGTAACCTAATCCTGCTGGTGGAGTGAACGGTGCAGCGAAAAGGCCTCCAGGGTAGATGGCGTTCAGAGCGAAGACAAGATCAGCACCAGTGAGTGGGGATCCTGTGGAATCGAAGAAGATCTTCGAGGCGAACCAAGCCCTGACGCCAGCGGATGGAACATGTTGGCCAGTTTCTCCTGTTAGCTTGTCTCTCCATCTCTTAATAGATTTTCACATACCACCACTTAGCATTCGCTTGCGAAGGGGTAAGCATTGGTCGTCTAACAAGGGAATTGTAAATGTCGTATTCACACCCGCACTCCTCTGAACCCCGAGGTGGACATGGGGAGTAAAAGAGCAGGCCAATGCGGTCCCGAAGGATCCGAGTAGAAAGTGAATAGAGATCATTTGGTTTTTGCTTCTTCCTAAAGATGAATGCTGCTCCTGTGGCGGAGGAAATTTGCGAGTCCGGGCCTTGTTCCTTATATCACCACGCGGAATGCCAGAGTTACTGATCGCGCCTTGGCTTGTGTAAGACCAACCTGTGGTGGCGGTAGTCCTAAAATTAGTAACTCCGAGGTTACAGCTGCAACGCAACCCTCCAAAGTGTCGGAAGTAATATTTATGCACTTTAATCATTCATCTAATTTTAGGGACTGTGCCGGACTGTGCCGCATCAACTTGGCAGATTTGGCAAGGCTCAGGATGCTGACTTAGAGCTAATCACTCTCTCTGATTTGGCCTATAACGACGGCGGATTGAATTTCCACTCACACCATTAGAACTGAATGGTCAGGCGGAGAACAGGCCCAAACAATCCACTCAGGCCGTGGGCGCATACTCTAAGCGTCACTACTGCTTTTGTACACGCGTCGCCCGTGGGTAATCGTTAGAGGAAAAATTATGGCCAGGGAAACATGAACCAGAGTTCTGGTTCACTCTGCCAAGTTTTCCGTCAGGTGTCTGTCTCCGACCATGGACGTTTGAGAGCCCCTTTGGCTTCGAGTAGTCTCGAATGTATTACGACCGTCTTGGTCTTATCGTTCATAACATCTTCATAACAATGAGAGGGTTGCAGCTCGCGATCTATCACGTCGTAGATACTCATTCCATCTTTTCGATAGTACTTTGATGCGAATTGCTCAACTTCTGCGGCGGGAACTTCCTTTTCCGGAGTTCCCTCAAGATCTTTGAATAGGAAGATGACTGGATCATCCTGAATCATGTCGTCTTCGTTGCCTTCCCCGTCATGATCATTGAATCCTCTGTTGCCCAGTTTTTCTGCTTTTAGACGTGCAACCTTTCGGCTCTTCTCGTGGGCCTGTTCAGCTTCTTGTCTTTTCCTCTCATCCCGCGCTTTTGTAACAGTGGTTACGTGAAAGATCCTACAACCACGCCATGGGTCATATATCATTTTTTCATAAGCGTCAACCTTCTAACCTTCCTTCGCCGCCCACCTTATTGTCTCAGCTCCTTCAAAAAAACTATTTCCTCGGCCCCACTGAATTCGACCTAGTCCTAGTCTCGCGGGAACCCCGTGTCTGCTGTAGACGGAGCGCTACGGATGCTTACTTTGTGACGATTACATTCTTATAACACCAAAGGCCCACCTACTATAAAACAAATAGAAATATCTTGATAAACTTGGCGGCAAAGACAAGGCTTCTGGAAATTTATTCACGGCTAATCTACGTGGCAATGCGCCCCTGGTGTTCAAACGTGCCAACCTGGGCCTTGCATCCTCTCCCTGTCTCCATAAATGGCGTCTCAGATATTGTGAATAATATCGTCAAGGCTAAAACAACGAAAATAGGGATTAATGCACCATTTAGAATGGAAAGCCCTAGGAGAGGCACCGATGTAGCTATGCTTATAGAACTTGTCGCATCAAATATTATTCCGCCTACGGCACTAAAAACAGTTAAACGTAAAGTGTGCATCCTTCACAACTGACGCTCAATAAATAGCAGGCACAGCATTATGACTATACGTCTGGGATGTTATGGGGCAATATTATTTTCAGCACCACTGGGTCCAATTTCTCCACTGGAGGCGTACGCCGCCAATCGAGCGAAATTTTCGTACGCTGCCTGCCCAGAACTGTCATTTATAAGGATATTTATACATATATTCATGTACCAGGTATGTATTCTTAACTCTAAGTAAGAGTAATTTAATGATTAGACCTTAGCTCTTAAGGTGTCATAGACACTTCCTCACTTCCGAGTTTTATTCTTTCTTAGCTACAGTACAGCACGCTATTTATAGCTTAATAAAGGTTGCAGATTGTATAATGGAAAAACAAAACTGTTATAGGTAGGGCAGAGCACGGGTTCCTAATCCTTTCCTAATACTTCTTAGGGGGGAGGTCCACACGGGAGATTCAAGAGGTGATCCCGCTCACGATAAATATCGTGGCCCATAAGGAGTAATACATAGTATTAGCTTTTGCTATGATAATATTACATGTCTATTGCGCTGTGCAGGACTCTCGCCCACTGGCTGGTTAAGGAAGACAGCATAGTTCTCAGCGTCCTAATTAAACTAGAGAGTCTCTTCACAATGATGTTGGGAGAAATGGGCATTTAAGGTACGTAAATCCCGTGGCGGTGGAGAGGCATTTAAGAGAATCTCTCTAAGGGTAGATGGTCGTGGGTATATCGTATCCATTCCAATAATAACAGTAGCAAAAAATTATATAGAAGTACCTGTATGTAGTAGGCCTGGGCTATGGTTTTTTTTTTTTTTGTTGAAGAAAAAAGGTTATTGGAAAAGGACCTTAGGTAATAGCCCGTGGGAGTGCGTGTGTTTGACAAAAATGTGATGGGATATATTCTACCTTAAAATAGCGGCAAAGCCTGGCTACCTTGTGCAGTGACGTGTATCGCCACCCAGGCCTGGTGACTGTGTGCCTAGGCCTCTAGTGGCAATGTAGTGCCAATAAGGGAAATCCTAATTTAAGCATTAGTGAATGCACTAGGGAAAAGACTATGATGACATCACCTCTGAACCAATCAAAAGTGCTGGATTCCAGTTAAGGCGAGAGACTGCGATTGATTCGATTAAGCCGATGAGAATAATCAGAGACTATACCTAGTTCCTTCTTCCTCTAAACATGATTCTATCCCTCCCTTTTCGCATAATACCAACAGATCCTACAGCCTGTGATGAACCCCCAGAGTGAAGAGGATTCCCAGGTGAGCACCTCTTCTCATTCTCGATGACTCCCCGAAACTGAAATATTTTCCCAAGGTCAAGAAGCGTAATAGGGAGGCGCAGCTCCAAAATATATACGGAATATTGCCAAATCGAGATCTTCCTGGCCATCAGCTGGAGGCATGTGATTCCCGCACCTAGCTTTTGCTATTGCCACTGAGTATAGATCAAGCTGACCTATAAATTGGCTGTAGAACAGGACGTTTTTTGATTCAGGCGACTTTGCGCTTTTACAGGCTCAAAAGCCTTCCAATATGGGCAGTGTTACGACTGGGAGCCAACATCCGTGCCGGAAGGCCATATCCCATCCATTCTGCCCGGTACCAAGCCTGAGCAATGTTGGTGAGAGGGCTAACGAGGGAGGAGACAAGGAGGAGACAGGAAGCGACATAAAAAGTAAGAGCTATCTGAATAAAATGGAAACTGACGAGACCTCTCAGTCTTAGGATAAGTCTGAGAACACGATCGGGGCTAGACATATAAAAGCTCTAGTGTCTTCTTAGACTACCTAACATAGTGTAAATATTATATGCATTATGGAGCTGTTATACATACAAAAGCTAGGTACATTAAGGCAATCTTCCCATCTATTTCCATCTAGAACTTGAGTTCTTGGGTAAAGCCGAAGACCTACTGAAATCCACGTGAAAAAAAGACATATTATTTGGATAATAAACAAAGCTTCCCCTTTTCCATGTATTGCCATTATAACTTAATACTTGCGAGGTCTTTTCATTCATGCATTATACAGTACCCATATGCATACATCCTTATATATATTAACCAGATTCTTTAATTGGAAAGAGGTGTGAGCGAAAGAATGCATGAGCTGACCGGAGTCGTTCTAGTACTTTATAAGGATGTACTGTCTTTAGAAATGGACTAATATTATATGGCAATCGCATTCGGCTTGAAGCGAGTGTTGGTTCGCGATCTCGTATTCTACTACAATATAAAACTGCAGCATAGGGGCGAGGGCTTTTCATCAATCCATATGGCTATTCTGTCGACAGACGCAGGTGTATTGTACATATATGCCGCGTTGATAGAAGATGTTAAACTGTTTGTAGAGACTGAAGATGGTTCCAAGGAGGGTTACCCTTATTGGCGACTTCCTCTCACGGCGGTCTGTACTCCACACTGTAGTGCTCATTGCTGATGATGCATCACATACTCTCATCCAGAAGCGTCAGCCGTTCTCCAGTCCTGGACGAGAGAGCTGTTGGTAGGGGGGTAGTACAGTACTGTAACGATTTTCTGACGTATTATAGCTCACGACCGATAGCCTGACGATCATTTGGAGGGGGGGACATTGAGTTTAAAACACGTTATGTGTTTACATAATGTGTTTGGAGTGCGTAAGTCAAATTATACTTAAGTGAAACAAGACCATAGCATACAGTATTTCATGCCAAGGTAGTATCTATGTTTTGAGTACAATACCGTACAGTGCTACTGTATACTTAAGCAAAGAAAGACTTCTGATACTGTATAAATATATGAATCTAGATAGTGTGATTATGTATCTTTTCGTTATGTATAACAACATTTTCTAGCTCACTCTCTTCCCGAAACGAAGATTTAGGTGGAGCATGTACACTATCTTTCCCCATCTATCGTATTTATGGTTGTTCTAAACCTCCTCTGCTTTATTTAATTCAGCAAAACAGCTCTATCCCGAACTTTCTCTTCTGGACAACGCCATTTGTTGGAAGGAGTCGCTTTCATTATTCCTATTCACCAAAGTTCTTACCACCATGAGCGAAACGCAAGCTACTGTTGAGTTCTTTTGCGGTTCTTTGGATAAAATGAGAAAATTCTCCTCTTGTTTGTTGAATGAGATCAAAGATGCCGGATGGAAGGATATCGAAGTCGATTACTGTGATCGGGGTGATGAGATTGAGATCACAGTCTTTTGCGAAGGCTATTCGTCTGACTTGAAACTCTTCTGGGAACATGGTATGGATTGTGCGCAACTTGCTATCTCTCTAATTGCAGAACATTTCCAAGAGGAACATGATGAGAAAGGGGCTCGACCATATGGTCCACTGGTTACTGCTTATGGGTGGCCGAAAAGGTCTCAGAGTAAGCTTTAAGGCTACACTAGCGTTAAGATATGGAAAATTCACCAGTGGGATAGTAAACATTAATTGAATCATTCCTGCTACCAGGGGATCAAGTTTCGTTGAGCGATAATGGTCGGACTGTTACGCCAACATGAAACTGAAGCTGAAGATTTGGTTTATAAGTATGGAGTACTGAGTAGATCTATTGATCAAACTACTTGATCCCCTTTGAATAATGTTGCTAGGCCTTCGAAGTCCGCAGATGCAAAAACTCTGTCTGCGAAAGCAAGCTTTGATTAAGCCAAGCGAATAAATGGGCAAATTAGTGGGGAATTGCCAGGTCGCAAATACACTTATTGCTTTCTAGGTGCCATTTTATCGAATTAGAATTGAATCAAGATCTTTCGTGAATTCTATAACGTACTGTATCAGTACAAGGTATGCTTTACAACTATATATCAAGAATACATCTTCTCTGGAGCCTCCTCTTCCCAATAATCTGGAGGCTGATCTTTTTTAGAATAAACTGGGAGTTGGTCTGTTTCTGAATAGGCTGCAGAGATATCTGAATCACCGTTCAGGGACTGAACCACTTGTGCCTGCATTGGTTCAAATCCTTTTCTGTGTTTACTCCAAACAACCATACATGCTTGCCATTTCAATACCTTGCCCCGATTCTGCAATAACCCAGGCTTAAGACAAACCACATGAGCTGTCTTGATATTCTCGATTAATTGAGTCGTATGGGTTTGTGTTCGGCGTTTTGGGTTACCAATGTATTCGATGAATGCTCGCGGGCACAGAACATGGCGATCATCATGGGCCACAAGTCTGCGACCGATAGTATAAACCCTACTTTGACACATCTGAGCAAGATTTGCTAGATATATGTTTATCACAGCTTCTTCAATTGTGTATCTCGGATAAACTTTTGACCTTTGCTTCTTAGAAGATTTTCCAAAACGTTTCCATGAGCAAGAGCCATCGGCATCAGCCTCTGAGGTTGAACAAAGCTTTGGTGTTCTAAGCTTTTCTAATAATAGAAATTGTTGTCGATAATAGAAGCTTCTATCCAACTTGGATAGCTTTCATGCCATGGACTTTGCTCGAGAACGAGGCGTATATTTTTTTCGGTAGACTAAAGTTTGTAGGAATGATTCTGGATTCTCCTATTTAGTAGGAAAATAGCCAGCCATACCCATCTTCTATATCTGTCTACTATATATGGCGTGCATAGATTCTAATAGGATACTGTGTTGGACCTGCAGTTGCAAAAAAAAAAAAAAAGGTGAAAAAAAAAAGAAAAAAAAAACAGCATAAAAGGTGTAGGGTACTGTATTGGTCTTCAACGGGACGAATATTTGATATGCTACAGCGACAGATTAAATTATTGGTTTCAGCTATATTTAGAAGCGTTGAAGGGTGAGATGAAATAGGCAAACAAACGACTGCTTACTGTAGGCGTTTCCTACATTGAAGATCTAGCGCTGTGACTGGGGTACTGTATTTATAACCAAAGAAAAAAGGTACTACTGTTATGGGATCGTATAATCTCTAATAATATTTCATATAGCCGCGGCCGACTGCCGCAAGCAGCGGCGGTATGTGGCTGCAAAAGGAATGGCAGTTGTATGTATAATCAGCCTCTCTATGGAATTGTGCCTCCCTGATCGATTTCTAAGATCAGCCTTCTGCAGATATGACCCATGTACAGTAACATTCCATAATCAGCTTGCGTGAAATGACAGTGCTTCAAGTATTCCAGCAAATTTCGGACGGGGTCGGATTCGGTGGGACCGCGAAAATAGCTTCCTTGAAGACTAAGACAATAAGACAGGCCGCGAAGGAAGGTTAGAATCTTATTCTTCACACGGGCGCCTACTACCACTGTTATCTATAATCCTGGTTATAATTAGCCAATTATATTGCAATTTTTTGTATTTCACCTAAAATCAAGTTTCCTTTCGCAGGGGTATTTGCTTACTTCTTACCATGGTGTGTTTTTGTATTAATACTTCATTTAAAATCAATAGAGTTTATAAGTGCTAGAGCATATCTCCCTTGTCTCCCTTGTCTCCCTTGTCTCCCCCTCTTCTTCTCTATAATAGTCCATTCATCGCTTCACTTTTGGTGCGATCTGCTTGATCACCATCATCACACATTTACGATGGCTATTATCTATAACTCCTCTATTTGCAGTCAGCCTTGGACTGAGCTGCAAAACGCCATATCACAGATTTGTGCTATTGACGAGCACCATGAAGCACGAGCATCTAGAGCAATACCATTCAATATTGCTGATCCAATGTCTCTACCCCATATAAATGAATACAAGGCGAAGCTTCTCTGCTGCCTCCAAAAGTCTACACCAATTATGGTCGATAAAGCAGATGATGATGATTGGCTAAGCCCACGGGACATACTGCGCCAAGTTCATGTTTGCCAAAGAAAAACAGCACATTAGGCTACTACGAGAAATATGGCAGATATATTACGCAGAGAATGAGTTTATCGTCCAATGCAGTTGTCTGCCTTGTTTTATGGGTTCCCCCGGCGCAAAACAATACGTCAAAAAAATCACGGTCACAATCGATCTATTTCGCGAGGCCAAGAAGACGGCGGCACAGCGAAATCTAAAGACGCTTTCTGATCCAAATAAAGTACTAATTTTTCTACGAGGAGGAGGTGCTATTGAGGGCAGTGACCTAGAAATGCAGGCGGTCATTAAAGATATCGCCCAAGTCATACACGATCTAATTTGCAAGTTTGGGTGTCATATCGACATACAAAAGGTTCAAGGAGAATTGGTACGACCAAAAGCTTGCTCCCTTACTGGAAGGCGCCTTCCGAGCTGGCTAGACAGCGGCTGAAAAATGGGGAGAGCAGTATTGAAGATGTAATGAGAATTCAGGTAGATAAATGGACCAGCAAAACCTGAAGTAATACCGGAAGACGAATCGGCTGTTGGTGTTGTGGGGAATTTACAAGCGGGCTTATGTACCAATGATGGCATCTAAACAGCTTCACTGGCACCGTATAAACTATAAAAACTCCTTCACCCACCCATACCTAGTGCGTAGCCCGGGCTTAATCTAAGAACAAAGGGTGTAGACTATGTAGCCGCTTAAGGAATAAACCGCATAGATAACAAGAGTAAATTCCCGATTCGAACCAAAAGAAACCTTGAGATAACAGACAATGTGTCCGAATCACGTGCCTCCGGCATCAACTGCAATGAATTTGAGACATTGACAAAACTCTTAATTAGAAAAGGAATGGATAAAAAGGGTCACTTGCAATATCTGCTTTGTATTGCAGATGTTGGCTCTATTCGGTTGTTCGACAACTGAGAATGGATTGTCCATTTAAAATAGACCCCTTTGACGAGGACATGGATAATGTTTCCACGGTTCGGCCGCCTTCCGAACCGTCGAATACTTTAACCTCCAGCGCTCATGTGTCCAGTAGGTTCCCAGAGTATCAGATACAGATGACTGAAAGAACAAGCGATTTCTAAACTTCACAACATGCCATAACCCTTCTCGAGAGCGGACATGGTGGTGGCAATTTGGCTTCAGGGTGAAATACCAAGGCTCTAAGCCCCATAAGATTGTATGGGTATGCGAAAGATGCTTCCTTCGCAACAAAATAAAAGCCCCGCGTTATACACGTTCGTCGCATCAACTGCTGGGAGTATTGTTAGTTATCTTAGAAAGGAACACAGGGTCGTCCAGCCTCAACAAGACTCGAAAAGGAGCACCCCCCGACGCTGTTCCTATCTGCTATCAACAGCAGCTGAAACGGCGCCAGCTTGAAGTGGCATGAGGTGAAACAAAAGGGGGAATTAGTATCGAGACGGCCTGTGGCCATTATAACGGATCGTTACATTGGCTTTAACAGCTCGTCTCCTTTACCGGTAACGTCTCTCTGTGTTGTTTGTTTTACGCCAACCTTGTAAATGGTCCCCATACATAACTCAGCGATGTCAACTTAGAGCGAGTAGTACGGTACAGTATTAATACAATTCTCCGATAAAAGGCTGTAAGATGTGAATCAGCAGTTTATATACGTAGTTTTCTTATCTAACAGCACATGCTCTTATGTCTCAGACATATTTAATAAACTCCTCGAAAGGTCGGCCGATCTTGAAAGTAAGCTTCTAAAGAGGACAAGGTAAAGCGAGATATGAGAGATAACTACACGTTGTCTAATAGCTTGCTGGAAGAACCTTTATGATCTTTCTAGATATCGCATCAAGCGAGTTCTCCATTCACATCATTTCGTCTTCACTATCTTCTATTGAATTCCTAGCGGCTGCATTTGCTTCTGCAAAACATCGAGCTTAGCAAGAAGCAACCTCCCTTTTGATGCTCCTTTTTTTATAATTTTACATAGATTTTGAACACTAACGAATGGAGTAATTAAAACGGGTTATATATAGCTCTGCGGGCCGGCCTTTACGAGGAAAGAATTTGGGAATAGTGTTGCTTAAAAGCACCTGACATTGCTTAGGCTAACGGCAACGGGTGTGTGCCTCAGAAGATTCACTCCAATACGGAATTCAATAAGAGGCCTATAAAGCATCCCTAGAGGTCGGTAGCCGGGATTTGTCCGCCAAAGTGCTGATATGCCTTCAAGAAGGCCGAATGTTCCTCGAATCTTAGTTTTTCGATCATTCTAGATGCATCATTTTCCAGTGTGTCAGGCTACGGATAGCGCAATCTTCATGGAGGGGCTAGCAGTGAAGCTCTCGCACACTTCTCCTAGAGCTGAAACCTAGACTTCTGTGCATAGCCGGAATCCTGCCTTATTTTGCTCTTGATTTAAGGAGTACCTAGGCCTGTGCTGTTATAGACTGCCTGTGCTATGGATTTATTGGGCTAGCGCTTGTGTTTACATTGAGATAGGCCCGCAACCAACCCAAGTCCCGTCTCTCGCTTTGTCAGACACGGCGGTCTCGCTAAAAGAGCCGCTGCGCCCATTGCCGGCTGCCCAAACTCTAGGACGCGCGACATTCTAGCTTGCACGACATCGCAGGCGCACTTCTCATGGCTTGCCATGGTTTCCAGGCCTCGGAAGCGCGCCGCCACTCCTGGTGGCACCGATAAAGACGAGAATGTTGCCGACTGTCCATTCACCGTGAACGTCGTCTCAGAGCCTTCAGAGCCGAAACGCAGCAAGAGGGTCGACCGCATGGCCCTGATGCAAAGCGCCGTCTTCCATCCCAAAGGCAAATTCCAGAAAAATGAATCTTTGAAGCTCTACTACGCCGTAAATCCCCGCCAGCAATGGCTGGATATGATACGCTACAAAAACTTCATTCGCGAGTATCTCCCATATCTTTCTAAGAGACACTGAGCAGCTAACCCAACCAAACGTAAATCCGTGCAGTCAATGGCGTCAAATACTGCACTGAAGATTTTATCTATGTGGCGAACGAGGCAGCAATGGAACGACAAAACTCACTATTTGCCGGTGCTAGCGAAGTTGGCAACAAGGCAAACTACTGGGTGGCCCAAATATTAGAGGTTCGCGCCTCGGACGTGTTTCACGTATATGCCCGCGTGTATTGGATGTACTGGCCGGAAGAGCTGCCTGTGGGTACCCTGGATGGCAAGAGAAAAATCGCTGGTCGTCAGCCATATCATGGACAACATGAGCTGGTCGCTTCCAATCACAGTGAGCATCCCGAGTATCAGCGAGTGCCTGCTGTATCTCTAACATCCAGGTAGTGGACATTATCAACGTGGAGAGTGTGGTAATGGGCGTCAACGTCAAACAGTGGATCGAAACGAACGATGGTGACGTACAGGAGACTTTGTATTGGAGACAGGCATTCAACTACAAGACGTCGGAGCTATCGGTACGTAATGCTACAACAATCTTTCTGCCTTGAGCATGGTTAATATGACATCTTGTCCAATAGTCAGTCGTCGTCGTCTGCAAGTGTAGGACTCCCTCTAATCCTGACAAAATGTTGGTGGGCTGCCCCAACGAGTCGTGCGAGGAGTGGATGCATTACGATTGCCTCCTCGACGATGTCCTCGCTCGGATGTACGATCGACTGGGGATGGATATGCCCCACAAGTCGGAAAAGCCGGCCATCAAGGAGGAGACGAAGGAGGATACAAAAGATGAGCCAAAGGGAGGGACTATGGGAGACCTGCGTTACGGCTTGTTGAGCCCCCTAGTCAAGAGTGATGACAGAAAGTCGCCGATGGTCGCCAATAGCGAGATAAAGGATCAAGTGCTCGTGAAGCAGCTGGGTGATGAATCGTTGAAGGGCCTTAGAAACTCCACCACCGGCACCACCAAATCCCTCGCATAGGCTCTCAAAATCAGCCTTGGCATTGCCAGGAAAGCGCAAGGAGTCGTCAAAGAAGCCCTGGGGCACCCTTTTCGAGGCAACTCTCATGATAGAAGGAGGCCCGACGGTCTGGCAGGTAACGGATTTAAGAGAAGGCATCGAGGGAGGAGAAAAGAAGTGGACAGAAATGGCGTATTGTCTGCTGTGCGACACTCTCATTGTGTAAATGGCGAGGTAACTACACGCAAATATGCCCCTTCCCTGGGGATGTCAGGCACCGGAAATGGTATAAGTTAAAAAGAGGCGCCGATGCAAAAGAAAAGAAAGTTCAAATGCATATCTGAGCCTACCGCAAGGCCCGCTCGCATTCAATTCACTGTAATGTGCCTTGAACAAATGATTGTGATGAGCCTTGTGTCACAATCTGCTTACTCACACAGGGAATCAGTGCAACTGCTAAGGTCGCCTTGCTTGATCGGTGAAGAAGCAGAACTTGTGGCCTGGAAGATGATCTGTTTTAGTTGCAAACTGACACGCAATAAAGAACGCAGATTTATCGACATATTTTTTGTTACTGGCTGAAGTTTGACCTGAAGTGTAGAGAGAGTGATATGTACTGTACTAACTGTATGTACAGTAACTTTACCTTAGGTATTAATAAATACCAATAAAGTCTACACGGCACACTAGATGAAGTAAAGGAGAAGCCGCAGCTACTGCTTCGCCTCTTGAGGCATCAAACCAGCGAATCGGGCTTGCCAGAATAGTATTATAGACAATACGCAGAAGGGTGGCTTGGTAATCGGGCTCCTAAGCCGACAGAATGGCTATAAGGCAGCTTTGGTGCATATGCTATAGTTAGGCACTTACTTCTAGCTATATACAGTACATGCACTCATCCAACCTATGTATTCATTTACACAGTATATATATCTAATACTTATAGCTATTGATTCGCTACAAAGCTATATCTACTATTATGGAACAATTTTTACGTAGATGCAGAACTAAGGTCCCTCCTTGATGAAGTAAGTGAGGAAGACCATGATATCGGACCCTATCGTCATAATTCCTACAGCATCTTCATAGCTAAAGCGCATGTTAGGGCCGCTAATTTTAAGGATGTGGAGATGAGTAAGCCCTAGGGAACTCAACGAGGTATATCGCGATAAAGGAAGTAATCCATAACCAATTCCGCTATGTATATACACCATCCAAAAGCTATGCTTTGCTGTCAATGTCTTGCTTTTATTATAGTAAGATATAAGCCCTGGTGTTCTGATAGTAAATTAGCTGATATTACCGCGCCGCTTGCCGCTCTGTATTTTTTTCTATTTCTTTATTTTTATTTTTATTGTACAAACTATTTAGATTTTTTTTTGTTGAGACCCTTTTCTGCGCCGCGATGGGACTCTTTGGCTATGCATAAGTCATCATCCATTAAGAAATTTATATGTGCCAGAAACAGGTGTCTAAAATGTCTCTAAGGAAAAAGTCGTAAATTACACTATGTATCAATCGCAAAACTACTTCGTGACCCAAACACAATGCTGATCCTGGCACATAGCCCCAAAGCAGCACTGCCGAAACGAGGATTCTGTGCAGTCAGACCTAGGTAAATCTAGATCATGATAGCAACATGGAGCAGGGCCATTAGCTTTGATTCCTATAGAAGATATAATATTAATACAAGGTAGGAAGTATAATGAATAGAGAATACCACGGCATCTTCGATCTATTATACACCAGGGCCCCGACTCGTCAAGGTAGGGTTAGGTTCCTTGTAGTAGCTGTTTTTTTTGTTCCCACTTCTACCTCCGGAGGCAGATTAGTCCCACTTTTGCTTCTAAATACAGTAACCCCACTTCTGCCTCCGGGGGTAGACTGATTCTGCTGCTAAATGTAAACCAACTTCACTTCTACCTCCGGAGGTAGATTGATTCCACCTCTGCTTCAAAACATAACCAACTTCTGCTTCCGGAGGCAGACTGTTCCTCTGTAAATAGGCATATATAAAATCCATTGCTGCCGCTTAAGGTAAACTATCAACCTCTGTAATAAGTATATGTCAATAATAATCCTCTCTTGCCTCCTTGAGTAAATTCATATCACCTCTGCTATTAGGCATGGATACACTTACTTCTGCCTCCGGAGGTAGACTGTCATCTTTTGCAGCTTGCTGTAGCTTAGCGTACATTAATCCCTTTTCTACGCCCCGGAGGTAGATTGTTTCCACCTTGCCTTTAGACATAGGTCAGATCCACTTTTGCCTTTACTCCCGGATGTAATCACTATTTCTGCATCTGTCTTTTGGTGTGGAGTAACTTCACCGCCTTCTTAGTGCATAAATAAGAGCCATTTGAAGAAAAGGGATCAGATATAGAATCTCGCTATCGAGTAAATCAAAGTCGCAGTAACCCCAAAGCCACTCACCTATAGCAGCATGAAGCGATTATCGTCTAACACTCATTCCACTATGTCGAGACCACCAAAGAAGCGGCAGCAGACATCGTCAAGCATGACAAATCCGAGCAACACAGCTGTTCGAGGTTCTAATGTGGGGAGAGATATTGCGATCGAGGAATTGCTATCTGCTCGAACTCTAGCCAGCGCGCACTTGCTTGCAGTCGCGAAGCTCCCCCTAGATATCCTATCCACGCGATGGAGAGAGGGGAAGAACCGGCCAGTAGACGAAGGCCACATAAACAGTCTATGCCAGAGCTTTGTCAACAGGGGTATAGGTCGGCAAGATGAGGGGAATTTCATGAAGGTTGCATGCAGCGCCCAGGCCGTTACCGCCATCAAGACTTATCTACACCAGAGCCGGGGCCAGACGGAGAATGCAGCAGGGAGCTCGGAATACGACGGAGCGAATAATCGGCCATATTCAACCCCCGAACCACTTGACTTCCGGGCATGGGCTGAAGCCACCAATGAGCTTGCAGAGGTTCTTGACGGGCAGCATCGCCTAAGAGCAGCTCAGCAAGCGCTTGGCCTCAGCGACAAAAGCAATAGATGGTGGGTTTGTGAGGTGTATGACAAAGGTACGTACTGAAGCTGCACCTCGAGCCGCAGCCCTACCCTACAACCACAAACTTACCAAGAATCTCGTTGCAGACACGCTCCCAAGCGAAGTACGGCTTCAGCTCTGCATGAATAGACAAGAACTAAAGCTAGCTGATCGTGATGGGCAAATTTGGACTCAGCTTGTGTCGATGTTCAACAGTCCAGAGAGTGTTATACGTGGTGAAGAAAACGCCGTTGATATCTGCAAGAGACTTGGAGCTGCCCTGAGGCTGGATGGTGAAAACGCAACTAAGCTCCCAAATCGGATGTTGATTATATTAAGAAACGAGCAGTGGAACCAGTTCACCACGTCATGGTGCAAGACAGCTATTGGGAAGGAGACTTTTAACGCTTCCAAGTGGGTCAATATGATAGCCCACCGCCTCGACCATGTAAGTCCGGCACTTTTCAACCCTCTTTACCCTGCTGGTCCCACCCAGATCATGTTTAATCAGACTGGTTGCTTCACAATGGGAAACTAGCGTATTTCGATATCGCAGTTAATAATTCGTGTCACAGTTCTGGATATCCCGCTTCCAGAGAGTGCTTGATACTTTGGAGGCCCTCGACCGTGAGGTTGATGTGAACGAAGGTCGCTGGACGCCTTCTGATACAATCCTTCTGAGTGACTGGGAGGCGCTTGCGACCTTGCTGCCCAGCGGCTACACGGAAGAATCGTTGGATCTTGTGTACCGAGAGAGACGAAAACCGCAGGGATCCAAGGTCGGCGCGGCAGTGAAGGCGAAGGGGAAGAAATCAACAGGCAAAGGATTCCTCCCTTGGCTAAACGACAATGAGGTCCGGCAGCTAGTGGAATGCATCAAGAGGGCCGGCTGCCCCGGATTCGTCCACATCAAACCTATCCTTGAGATCAGAAAAACCGATGGCAAAGCGCTCGGCTACATCATGAGGCACGTCGTGGCCTGGGTGAATCCGCACCCGATGGACGTCAAACGGACGAAGAACAACAAGCCGCCCCTCTGCAAGGATCTGAAGCCGGCATTCCAGGATGTGCGCGGCAGCTCCACCACGGTGGCCGAGATCGCGCGACTGTCAATTGGGCTGGAAGAAAAAGTGCTCGAACATGCACTAAGCCTACCTAAGGAGCTCGATTCCCTGAGTGGCTCGATTCTCGAAGAGTTCCCAGCAGAAGACGAGGTTAACAGCGCGGTGTATGCTAGTCGGTTCGTCGACAGCGAATTATGGCGAGGCATCTTGAAGATTGTCCGGGATAGTCTAGGCCCCGGTTTTCGTCCTGAATGGGCAACTGGTCAGCAGCAGGGCCTTGATGGCGAGTCAGTGATCGAAGCTCAAGAGATCAACATGAAGAAAGCAGTTTTAGCAATGGTTGATCAAACATCTGGCACCCAAGACATTATTCAGCATGCCTGGGCGCAAGACGGGGCGTCGCTTTCAAGGCTCAAGCATATGTTGGGGCAGACCATTGAGAAGTGGCTTACTGAGGAAAGCGGCACTAGCATGCACAATTCAGACCAACTACATCAATCAATTGAAAGGCCAACAAAGCAGCGGCGTGAACAAAATGAGAGCCCGGCGGCGCCTATGGTTAGGGACAGAGGTGTGGGCAAGAACGCAAATGCCAGCAGAGGGGAAACGAGAACTAGTAGTGGAAAATATGGCTTGAATAATGCCCTTTCGCCACAACGAATCATTCCAGCGGCGATTCAAGTTTCTGTCCAAGAACCAGGAGACCTCTCTCGCGGAGGAGGCATCAGGCCCGGTTCGCCGAAGGTGGACAAAGGCCTTCGTGCCAACCACCAAGCAACACGTATTCTCCCATCCTCTTTGGGTGGCGGGGACGATGTTGACGAGCTCATGGTCCTCCCACCGCTCAGAAATAACAACACCCGAACAGAAGTGTTCCGGATTCCCAGCAGGATCCACCAGGGCGTAGCAGCTTCTCGGACTGCAGCAAAAGCTCCAATAAAGAAGCTGCCTGGCTGGGCCCACGGGCCTTTTGCGAGGTAGGTGCTTATATCAGACTCGCAGAGAAACTATGCGCCCAAGACCAGCATCTCTAGCCAATCAATGGATATTGTATCAATATGCAATGCAGTATGGTGGACTTGGGTGAAGCATCGGCAAAGGAGTCCCATGGGTAGGGCCGGGTTAAGTCTCCGAGGTTCGGCGAAGGAGTTGGCGACAGCGGCGGCGATAGGTAGAAACAATGAACAATTGTGTAGAGTAGTAGTGTGTGTTTAAAGTATAGATCGCAGGGAACGAGCGTGCAATATTATGATGGATGACGAAAATGGCTGGGGAAGAGCATTATATCTAGGAGGTAACTCCCTCGCTAATGTCGATGGGAGCATCCTTAAGGCAGTCTGGATCGCTCAGCACCTATCCAGCAGCATCAATGATGGACTCAACAGAATCCCCGGTGGAGATAAACTTTCCCATTACTGCATCCGTTTCCAGCCACGCCAGTCACCGCAGCTCAACCCCGTCGATCGACGCCTTTGTCTACTTGGACAGCGATCATGATATGGTGAGCCCTGGAGATGCTGTCGACAGCTCGGGAAACGGCCTGGAAGAGCGCCGTAGGCGTTCCAAATCTCTTCTTATCGTCACGGATGAGGCAACTGACCCACCATCGACGTCAAACACGCAGAGCAATCACGCTGCCGGCGCCTCGGAAGATTTGTTTCGCAGAGAGAGCCGGTTCTCTCCTGTTCCCGCACAAGAAGACAATTACCCTGATGTTGGAGAGCTGCATAACAACAATACCGGCGAGGGCCGAGACGATGACGACCAAGTCAGTAGCTATGATGCGATAGCTATCGAGGACGCCGAGGCAGAAGAAGAACCTCCCATAGAGGCAAGAGTCTCGGCCAGGGCACCATCATATAATCTAATGCGAATTGAAGGAGCACATTTTAACGGTAAAGAGCCCACTACACCTTATTCTGATTGCTGCGTGTTTCATTGGACAGCTGGGAGGCCAACTGCTAATATGTATACAACAGCGGCGAAGTTCCGGCGGAGGGTGGAACAAACAATCTCCAGCGCCGCAGACGCGATCAAATTTATACAGAGGCAACACTCGGTCAACTACGCCGCCCAATCCAGGAAGGTTGATAGCGGCGACGAAGATGCTCCCGATCGGGTGATGCCGACGTTCTTCCTCGACTTCCTTGCCATCTTAGGCAAACCCGGCGAGGCCGTCTCCAAGGCTACCGATAGTCATCCTCTCTCCTCCATCAGCATCTCCTTCAAGGACTGGGCAGCTCCTTACTCCAGCAAACACCTCAATGCCGCCCTGTCCTTTGGCCTAACCGGACGCACATTTAAGATTGGAGCCGATGGATTGGGGATGACATGGTTTATTGTCGTTGCCCCCGATCCTAGAGGAGCGACATTTGGTGATGGCCGCAGGGAAGATGAGGGGGGAGACACAAACAGTGAACCGGACCGGCCAAACGGCCGATCAGAGCGTCAAAACGGAAGGGGGGCCGGTTCCGGAGAGCGGGCCAAGCCAAAGGGAACGGCACTCAAGAGCTGGCGCGCAAAGAGATTTATTGAGTACTTCCACAAATGCGTCAGCAGCACCATCTTGGGGAGGGGGATTGAGGAGTCGTGGCGCCTGTGGAGCCAAGAGACGGCGCAGATATCCCTGACTGACTGGGCAACATTGCAAAGGGCACTTGTATCCGGATGGGACGAATCAGTCGTGGAGATGAGTGTTCAGGATAGGTTCTGGGCAGGGACCCAGCTGGCATTCCACGCATACGGGTACGGGGGTAACGTTTCGATTGATGTTGGCAGCGGGCCCCCCGTGCCAGAATTGGAGAAGACTCGGAGGGATGACGATGACGACGGCGAAAATAATGACGATGACAATAATGACAATGACAACAATAATGATTACGATAACGATGATGAAGGTGATGGTAATGATAACCATGGCGAGGGTAACGTTTACGATAATGGCATTATATCGGGGATGCAAGATGACATCGTCACCGCCCATGGCAATAGTCCCGCTGGATCTCAACGAGAGAATGCGAGCTCACAAGATAGGCATGAGAGGGGGACTGGTGTGAGTTCCAGACCTCCATTTGACCTGCGCGGGAGACCATCAGCACCAGAAAGGGATGCCGATGGTGGAGCGGCGAGGCTGATCCATTACGCCGAGACCGCACCCGGCCTACGCCAACTAGGCTTGACTGTTGATGCTATTTTTGACCTTAACGCTATAGACAACATAGCCTATGCCCTCGCCGCCGATATCAACTGTCTTAGCAACGAAGAGCCGAGTTGCCTGCTCGCAGACTTCAAAGAGGTCGATGATCAGTACAAGGACCGCAAGCTGGCCAATCTCACGCACTACTCGCTGGGCTTTAACCCCCGGCACGGTAACTTCACATCAAGCTTGCCCCCCGACTTTATAGACAACGTGCTGCGGACGGTGTGCTCTAACATGAGTTGCGAGAACGATAACGCCGACATAGTCACGCCCGGCTACTTCCAAGGCTACTCCAACATCAAGAAGACGGTGCGGTTCAACCCACAGGATCTCCTCGCAAGCCAGGCCATTGCTACTGCCGCACTATCCCTGCCAGCCTCAGGGCCGGGCATCACGCCTGCGGCAAAGAAGACGCAACAGAAGCTGCTAGACCAACTGACGGGTGAAAATAGCCCGGAGGCCAGATTTCGTACAATCCCCTTTGCGCGGGAAGCAAGCCGGCTTGAACAGTGCATCGAGGAGGGTGAGTACGCATTCAGGATGGAGCAGGTCATCACCGTCTCCGTGTCGCAACTACTCCCAGAACACCGCTCCATGCCCATGGTTCTGAGGCCGATGACGCAGCTGATCAGCTTCTTCCTTACGGCACAGAAGGAGTACACTCAGGTGCTCAGAGTATTCGACCCCGAAGCATTTCCCGGGGTGCTGTGCGCATACGCCAGGCTCTTCGAGCTCATCGCGGCCTCGATGCTCGCCCAGTTCAAGCGCGGGGGAAATGCAGGGCTCACGGTAGAGCTGGGAGAAGCCATGGCGGCGGTTGACCGACTGGGGAGCTTCTGCTTTACTGGAGACAAGAGGGTGCTCCCAAGCACGACCTTCAGGTATCTGGGCACGATGGAGAGCATCAAGAACCATGCGTTCCCCTACATCGACCCGGGGAGGCTGAACATGGCCGGCCAGGGGAGGATGAATATAAAGAACTGGCCTGGTGTGCAGAACCGCCGCGTGCACCTCCTACAGGCAGCATCTCTACAGTACCACTACGGGAAGCAAGTGGCGGCAGGTCGGGAGTCCGAGGCTAGGGTCCAGCTTCTGTCGCAGGATGCCTATGCTGCGGCGGAGTATATAGAGGAGGTCTTCCGGAATCAATTTGTGCCCGAGATGAGGCAGTTTTTCGCGGGGAGGATCCGGAAGCTTCTCCAGAAGCGTGGACGCAGCGTCGAGCTTTCAGACGAGCAACGGGAGAAGCTCAAGAAGGGTCGCCTATGCCTTGATGACTGGGAGGCCACAGGTCAGGGCGGCACTGCTTCGTTCAGCTCCGAGTAAGTACAATTACCTAGATATCCAAGCATCGTCCATACCATCGCATCAAAAGCCAATGCCGGGCCCTAAGCGGCAGTAGATGCAGATGCAGATGCAGAGAGCTAACTAGTGGGGGTAACATAGGAGATTCGGCAGTATCGTTGCGGAAATCAACAACGCTCTAGATGAAGGGCAAGGCCAGCTGAAGGAGGCGATCACAAATGACAAGCTGGAGCAAGAAAAATACGTCGACCACATCCTGGGAGCTCTCCAATCCAGCAGCGACAAGGCAATGGACAGGACCCTCAGCTCGAAGAACATGACGTGGCTGGCCGTCCTGAGTTCTCTCTTCAGGCAGACGTACAGCAAGAGGAATCCGGAAAAGTCAACCGAGCAGTGGCGATACCACATCGGGTCGGCGCTCAGACGCAACCGCGTTGAATGGACTCTTGGAAGCTCTCGCGGGACCATCACGGCGACGATTGCCCAAATGGTGCTGCCGTCCATGGAGAAGAGCTCGTTGGTCGGTTGGGCCATGAATCTACACCCCGGGAGTTTGAAGCGAAAAGCTGTCGAGTCAGAGATCGCGCGGGAAAGCAAAAGGCACAAGGCTAAGGAGACTTGCATTGACTTTGGGTGCACGTTCCCCCTCAGCGGTGGTCTCCTAGACGGGCTCGAGCGCGGCTTCAAACAGCTGCTGGAGAACTCGGGCCACATGAAGGCACCCCACGCGGGGCTCACCAACCACTACAAGAAAGCGCACCGCTTGCTGGAAGATCTTCAAGGAAAACCCGAGGTCGAGCTCCTCTGCATGCTGGCTCTGACGGTGGGCATGACGGCAGACATGGTCGTGTATAACGTGCCCAGGGGAAGAGGCGAGGATGAAGTCGTCGGGTTCGCGATAGCGGGCAAAAAGGTAAAGCAGAAGAGGGGAGGGACGCGGGTGGCTCTGCTGGCAATACGGATGCTGTGGTTCCTCGAGCCGGACCAGTTCGTGTGGAACAAAGCCCAGGGGCAGGAGAAGAAGGTGGAGGAGGCGACGATGTACAGCACGCAGTACGTGCGTGAGGCGACAGGTAAGCTCCAGAGCCCGACCCGGCTGCTGCATCGGAGACCGGGAAACGGCTGAATTAACGTTGGCTCTTAATCCATAGACCAATACAAGATAACAAACAACATGCTTGCGACATTGGGCTGGATTAACAGCAGGGACAATCAGCTGAATGCGAGGTCAGAGATGCTCCGTATAGCCAGCCCAGAAAGACTGCGAGCACGACTACGGCTGCTGCGAAGTCTGATGAGCAGTCCGGCGGATTTCATCAGAGAGGTGTTCCAGAGCGACGACCCAAAGTGGGTTGATCAATGCAGGGCTATTATTAATGAGAAGCCATAGCTAGGATGGCTCTACAAGCAATACATAACATAAGTCAAGCAAGCAGAATGAACTATATACAAGAAGATTGAACTATATACAAACAGATTACACTATATACAAGCAGAAAAGCAAAAGCCAAGTATATTATAAGGCCTTTCCCAATCCTAAGCCCCAGCCATTCACTTAAAGCATAGCATCTTATAAAATGCAAAAGCTATAGAACAAATCAATGCCGTCGTAAGTTTCTTTACCAAGTCGAAACATAGCGAAGATAAACAGTAGGCCGTCCAGTCTTGCTGCCCTATTGCTAAGTTGTAGCCTTTACATCCAGCTTTCTTGGTGACCGTTAGTAATTGGATCGATGAAAAAGAATAAGTGCAGTTAATAAAGAACTATATCGGTCCGAAGGAAAAGGTAAGACCTTTCTATCAGAAGTGTTTTATAATCTGAGATTATCTTAACGGGCTAAGTCCCTGGATTTAAAACCACATTCACTAACTAACCACTAAATAACCAAGAATTTTTTTTTTAAATATTTGAGGAATTTAATAGATGGTATAGTAAGGTATAAGATCGTAATCAGTGTGTTTAGTTAACTCTCAAATTCAAAGACCATCCTCGTGATAACCATATAGCTTGAAAAGCGCTCGCTCTTAGTAAATTTTATTGAGTAAGTATATATGTTTTAAATGCACAAGGCAGCGCCTGAAGCTCTCAAGAGCATATGGTAGCAGGTTGACCAGGCCGTGCAAGACCATGAATGGGCAATGAGTCCCTGGTCTCGGAGAGAATATGAGATTGAGACCCTGCTAGATGTGAATATATCCGCCAGCTGCTTCAGTGGTCATACCTTCGAACAGAGGCATTTTCAAAGGCCCGTGAGAAATCATTATGTGATTCCATTCTCCTTTGCAGCGCATAGCGAACATTAAACACAGCAAGTATAAATATAATAATAACCACAATGATTAACGCAATCAGTGGAGCCAAGATAG